TGCAGCTTGGCCCCAAGCCAAGCATCAGACCATCAGAGAGAGACAGAGCAGAGGAGAGGAGCAGGGGGATGGAAGGGAGATCCAGACAGGATGAGAGCTTCCAGACATCAACAGTGATGACGAGAGGAGGGCGAGAGAAAGGGTGTAAATACAGAGAGAGAGAGGCAAGAAGGACAGAAGCCTGAATTCAGAGGGGAAAAAGGAGCCGAGAAGAAGAGGGGGAGGTCTGGAGGACTTCTCTGCATGAGGAGAGATGAAGTAGTAGAAGAAGAGTTTGTAACAGCAGGAAGCGATGATGGGTCTCATGTTGGCTCATGTGACCGTGATGTCACTGAGGCTCCGCCCTCTCTCTCCCTCTGACATCATGCAGGGCTCCAAGGCCGTGTCGGAGACGCCCGCCATAGCAACCGTATCCGAAGACGACGATGAAGATGAGGCTGAGCCCCCACCGGTGATCGCCCCTCGGCCAGAACACACCAAATCAGTAAGGACACACACACACACACACACACACACACACACACACTTTACCTATATCTGTCAGGACCCTCATTAATGTAATGCATCCCCTCACCCAGCACCATCCCGCCCTAACCCGTCTCCATGGTAACCTCACACAGTCCTGTGAAGCGGGGAGGACCGGCCTCTAAAGGCTGAAATCAAATATAAAGGAAGAATAAAGTTAACTTAAATAATCACTTTAAAATTGTAGTTAGAAACAACTTTAAAGTTTTACAGAAGCTTGTTTGTGTGTAAAATGTTGGGTTATAGCATTTCAAGGAGTTCAGTATTAGGGAAGGAGAAGGTTAGAGTAGAAAACTACAATTAAAGATGTAGGATGATACAGCTAGACGTAGAGCATTTCAATTAAAAAGGTACAAAAAACACTCTTTCAGCCCAGCTGAAGATCACTACTTTATCTGAACACACAAAACATTTGTACTTCTTTGTATACATAGGAAGTGATCTGGATGAGTTGATTCAATCAATAGAGGATATGAAGCATGAAAACATCAATCGCATCCTGATTTTAACAGAAATATAAAGATCTCAATGGGACAGACATGAAAAGGCTTTTTGCAAGAAAACTTAAGTTTATTAGATTTTATTAAGGTGTCTCCCTCCAGCTGTCTCTCAGCAGACACACACACACTGGAGTTCTCTACAAATCTGTTGTGTCCCACTAAACAGTCCCACATGAGTCACTTAATGATGTGCAGGTAACTGTCATTCAGTAAATGCTTAAAACCCATTAATCTCTAAAGCCCCGGCCCCACAGGGACGCATACGGTAGTTTCCGTTACCGTTTTGTGTCATATAGACCGTATGGCCACACTAGGACGACAGAATATGGCAGTGAACGACTACGGTAACGATAATGGGTCCCAAGGTGGATAGAACGGCATACGCAACGCTCTGGGGGGTCCAACGGCTCCGTGTGTACGCCCTATGCCCTTATCATTCTGATAGTGATGACTCAATAGCCCCGCCTCCCCCCACCTCTGCTGCTCACCCCGCGTCAAAGTACACTGCACACTGAATTCAGATTATTTATCTTTCTCTCGATATGGACATAAACGCGAGTGAAATCTAATCTGACAGGACGGAGACACGCAGCTCTGCTCACCTGCAGTGTGTGTGTGTGTGTATGTGTGTGTATGTGTGTTTGTGTGTGTGAGACAGTCACAGGGGAAGCAGAGGTTTTTATTTAGAAACAGCTTTTCAGAGCTTCTGTTCTCCAATTCGTGAAACCAGGAACACACACACACTGACAAGGTGTGTGACTCCATTGATTTTTTTCTTAATTGACTGAAAGCACTCAGTGGATAGGAACACATCGCCTATCCTAAAGCAGACCTAAGAATTAGGACATTTTTATTGCAGGAGCCGAACATTATAACCTCCATGGAGTGTAGATTTTTTCTGTCAAGTCATGTTATTAGACTGCATTAGTTTCAGCTTTAAGTGCCTAATGAAATGGCAACTGAGTTTAATATAGCAGTATTACATTTTGTTGGGTCTTTATATTACTGTCATCATTGTTGTATCTGCTGTTGAAGAAACTAAAGCTGAAATAAGCCGTGAACGTTTTTAGTTTTAAGAAAAACTGAAAACCAAAAGATATGGCTCGGTTAAAAGACTAAATACACACACACACTATCTCGTGGAACGACTTCATAAATCCCTTTTATGTTTTTTCCTCAGACATTCACACATTGTTGCTCCTATGTCAGACAGGTTGGCGGTTGAGAGGCAGCTTCCATGGCACCACCACTGTGTCCATGGTGACACACACACACACACACACACACACACACACACACACACACACACACACACACACACACACACACACACACACACACACACACACACACACACACACACAGCTTAGTTACAATACTTTTCCTACATTGAAACATGTTCTTACCGTGTCTTTTACATTACATTGCATTTAGCTGACGCTTTTATCCAAAGCGACTTACAATAAGTGCATTCGACCACCAAGATACAAACTTGAAGAAAACAGAATCATATAAGTACATCAGGTTTCATAGAGCCAAAACATTTCAAGTGCTACTCAACTGGCTTTAGATAAACCAGTCCTTTATTAGTATATAAGTGCTTTGTTAGTAATTTTATTGCTCGAAGTGGAGTCGAAAGACATGAGTTTTCAGTCTGCTCTGGAAGATGTGTAAGCTATCTGCTGTCCTGATTTCAATGGGGAGCTCATTCCACCATTTTGGAGCCAGGATAGCAAACCCACGTGTTTTTGCTGATGGGAACTTGGGTCCCCCTCGCAGGGTGCAGCGAGCCGTTTGGCTGATGCAGAGCGGAGTGCACGTGCTGGGGTGTACAGTCTAACCATGTCCTGGATGTAGGAAGGGCCAGATCCATTCACAGCATGGTACGCAAGTACCAGTGTCTTGAAGTGGATTCTAGCAGGTACTGGAAGCCAGTGAAGGGAGCGGAGGAGCGGCGTGGTGTGGGAACATTTAGGAAGGTTGAAGACCAGACGAGCCGCTGCATTCTGGATGAGCTGCAGAGGTGGGATGGCACATGCAGGTAGACCAGCCAGGAGGGAGTTGCAGTAGTCTAGGCGTGAGATGACGAGAGCCTGGGCCAGAAGCTGCGTCGCTTTCTGGGTCAGAAGGGGACGTATCCTCCTGATGTTATAAAGCGTGTATCTGCAGCAGCGGGTTGCAGCGATGTTTGCAGTGAAGGACAGGTTGTTATCTAGGGTCACACCCAGATTCCTTGCAGTCTGAGTCGGGGAAACAACAGAGGGGCCGATGTTGATTGTTAGGTCAAGAGTGGGACAATCTTTTCCCGGAAGGAAAAGCAGTTCAGTCTTGTCAAGGTTGAGCTTGAGGTGGTGAGCAGACATCCACTGAGAGATGTCAGCTAGACAAGCAGAGATGCGTGCAACAACCTGGGTCTCTGAGCGGGGAAAGGACAGAATTAATTGGGTGTCGTCAGCGTAGCAGTGGTATGAAAAACCATGCGGGCTAATGACAGATCAGAGCGAGTTTGTGTACAGAGAGAAGAGGGGACCAAGGACAGAGCCCTGAGGGACCCCTGTAGTTAATTGACAAGGGTCGGACTCGGACCCTCTCCAAGTTACCCTGTAGGTACGGTCTTTGAGGTATGAGGTGAGGAGGGAAAGTGCAGAGCCTGAAACTCCAGATTCTTGGAGAGTGTGAAGGAGGATCTGATGGTTCACCGTGTCGAATGCAGCAGACAGGTCCAACAGGATGATGACAGAGGAGAGGGAGGCTGTTTTAGCAGTGTGTAGTTCCTCAGAGACAGCGAGGAGAGCAGTTTCTGTTGAGTGACCTGCCTTGAAACCAGACTGGTGCGGATCCAGAAGGTTGTTCTGATGGAGATAACAGGAGAGTTGTTTAAAGACAGCGCGTTCAAGTGTTTTAGACAGGAACGGGAGGAGAGAGACAGGCCTGTAGTTTATAACATCAGACGGGTTGAGAGTGGGTTTCTTTAGGAGAGGGTTTACTCTTGCCTCCTTGAGACTGTTTGGAAAGTGACCAGAAGTTAGAGAAGTGTTAATGAAATGGGTGAGAAACGGTAGAATATCAGGAGTGATAGTCTGAAGGAGGTTTGAGGGGATAGGGTCCAGAGGACAGGTGGTAGGACGGGCAGAGGTAATGAGGGTAAGAACCTCACTTGGAGAGAGAGGGGGAAAGGAGGTTAGTGTGTGGGTGAAAGGTGGGTCTGGTGACCCAGTGGTGAGTAAAGGTGGGTCTGGTGACCCAGTGGTGAGTAATGGTGAGTCAGAAAAAGAAGAGCGAATATCAACCTTTTGTTCAAAGTAGTTAACGAAGTCGCTTGACAGAAGGGAGGAGGGGGAAGGGGCTTTGGGGGGTTCTAAGAGGGTGGAAAAGATGGAAAATAGTTTTTGGGGATTGGAATAGGAAGATTGGATCTTATCTTGAAAGAAAGTGCTTTTTGCCTGAGAGATCGAAGAAGAGAAAGAGGAGAGGAGAGCCTGATAGGTTAGGAGGTCGTCATGGTGTTTGGATTTCCACCGTTTCCGCTCTGCTGCCCGAAGGATGGTTCTATTAGCACGCAGTGCGTCATTTAGCCAGGGAGCAGGAGGGGACTGACGAGCCTGCCGAGATGTGAGAGGACAGAGAGAGTCCAGAGAGGATGAAAGAGTCCAGAGGAGAGTTTCTGCAGCAGAGTTTGGAGGCAGGAGTTGGAACGAGTCAGAGGAAGGGAGGGCTGAGAGCACCGATGAGGTAGAGGGGGAGAGGGAACGAAGGTTATGGCGGACAGGTGCAGGATGAGAAGAGATTAGTTTGTTATGTTTGGAAAGGGGTAGAGAGAATGAAATGAAAGAGTGGTCGGATGTGTGAAGCGGGTTTACAGAGAGGTTAGAAGTAGTGCAGTTCCTTGAGAATATGAGATCAAGGACATTGCCAGCTTTATGAGTTGGTGGGGACGGAGACAGTGAGAAAGCAAAGGCGGTTAAAAGAGATGTTAGTTCAGATATTCCCTGTCTGGAGGTTGAAGTCTCCGAGATGTACAGTGGGAGGGCCAGTTTCAGGGATGTGTGAGAGGAGATTATCTAATTCCTCCAAGAAGTCCCCCAAGGCGCCTGGTGGACGGTAGAGAACAACAATGGATAATTGTATAGGATGGGTTACTGTGACGGCATGGAATTCAAAGGTGGAAGGAGTGAAGTTAGGTAGCTTGAAGAGGGAAAAGCTCCATTTGGGAGAGAGCAGGAGACCAGTGCCACCTCCTCTGCCAGTGGGTCTGGGTGTATGGGTGAAGAAATATGCTGTGGAGAGAGCTGCTGGGGTGGATGTGTTTGATGGAGTAATCCAGGTCTCAGTTAGAGCAAGGGAATCCAGAGACTGCAGGGAAGCGTAGCCAGAAATGAAGTCAGCCTTAGGAACAGCTGACTGGCAGTTCTACAGGCCACTTGTAACTAGATGTTGGATCTCAGTGGAGCATGTGGGATAGACGAGAGCAGGCCGGTTATAGCGATTAGGAGATGCACAGGGCCAGTAATAATTGCGAGAAGACACATGAACAGGAATGGAGTATATACACATGTTTTAGCATGAGGGGCTAAAAACACCAGCGATACTTAGCTCAATCAAAGTAGGATTTACCTCCTCTTTGCATCCCTCGTGACTCACGCAGGACTCTATTGTCTTTGTCAGTCTTTGTCAGTCTTAGTCTGACGCTGAAGCTCCAGGAAAGTGCTGCCTAAAATGGACACTAGTCCTGATTGCTGAGTTGTCACAGCTGTGGGCCTACGCCCCTTTAATTAGTTAACTCTCTGCAGCTGATGGGCACCAGCTGAAACTGTCTCACTTCACACAATCAGCTGAGCCTTCAGGCCTATTGTAATGCACTTTTTACAGACAAATGTCAGACTAAACCCTTGTTACAGAGGTTTTAAGTTAACCCTACTAAAATTACCCCTAGTAAAGCACTTAGTATTTGTACAATTGTTTAATCAAAGTAAACCCTAATCAAAGTGAACCCTAACAAGCAAATGTTTCAGTTTTTAAGATTTCTGAAAAAACAAGTTTACCCAGATTTCTGCCTGAAAAACATGTATTTTAGCTGTTCTGCGATTTCAAAACACAATTTTAGTCAGAATAACTACAGAACAATTATACAGAGTAGAATGAATGAAACAGAGAGGTCTAGAAACAAAAATAAAACTTACACAAGTTTCTGAATCAGCAGTGAGTCCTATCTGGTCGAGATTACACACTCTGTGTCTTATTGCTGTTTGTCAGATGAGACATTAAATGTGTGGGTTCCGTCTGTGTGCTTTTGTGATGTATTAACGGATGGTTTAGGAGATGAAAAACAATTCCAAAAGACACGTAGTCATCCTCACTGCTGGTGTTTTCATTGCTTAGATATATGAAGGGTTATTATATCCATTAATGTCCTGTACAAACTATAATGGTAGACAAATGAAACACTTCAGCCCAAATCCTGGTTGGATGTGTTCACTGCGTCTTGAATGCCTATAAAAGAAAGCAGATTGGACACTTAAATAATATTTAAAGAATTTTCTCAACACTGATTTAATTTCACATGTTTGAACTCCAGATATACACTCGCTCAGTGATCGAGCCGCTCCCTCCTCCTCCCACCAAAGATGCTGCGACCTCCCCCATCACCATGCCGACAGCCGCTGGCACCCCCGCCCCTGCTGCAGAGGGAGCTCCCAGCAGCCCCCCCAGTGCAAGCCCCGCCCCCGGGCCTTCTGTGCCCCGCCCCCAGGACAAGACCAGGAAGAAGAAGATGTCGGACGAGGAGATCCTAGAGAAACTACGTAAGGCTGCTTACACCCACACGCGCACGCACGCACGCACGCACGCACACACACACACACACACACACACACCTCATAGCTTTAAACATGAGAGTATCTCTAGTACGATAGACTTTTTTATATGATCTCTATTAGTATAAAGATATTCAAACATAGTTATCATTATTTAAGTAATTTGTCCTATATATAGGATATATATATTACCAGCTGTGTGTGGTTCCCCTCCTCTCCACTGAAGGCAGTCTTAACGCTGCAGAATTAGCATATTCTAATGACAATGTAGACCAAACATGAACATCTCTTTAGCTTTTCTTAACAGACCTTATTTCAGGAATCTACTCAAAAACACATTTAAAAACCCATCTACTAGCTTAGGGTCCCACAAGTGCAGACGAGTCTAACTCGTGTCTGGCTTTAGGGCTCTTCCCTCTGCCTTGGTTCCCTCATCAGGAGCCACAGGGGTTTTCATTTTTCTTTGGGTAACAATGTGTATGACACCTACATGTTTGTTCAGCAAGAGCATCTTTAAAAATGAATGCCACTTGTGATTTTTAAAGCATAAATGCAAATACCAGAAGTCCTACGAAATCTCAAATCTAAATCTACAAGTTGAGAAACCTGATTTAGAAAAGTTTGCAGGAGCGTGAGTCAACACATGTCTGTAAAGGCTGACTGGTAAAACATCCTCTGAAATCTCCTGTAGCCAGTTGTTAGCAAAATAAAAAGCCAAAAGCTTAAAAATGTACCAAGGGGATATATATACTGTCTTCATTTCAGTTGTAAAACAACACATTCAAATCTCTCAGCCTTTGTAAACCACATATGTTATTCAGGCATCAAAACAAATACACAATCAAAAAACATCGACTTCAAGACGAGTGAACCAGAGTTTCAGAGGTTTTATTCCTTTATAACTGATCGAATCAGGATCCAATGCTTACAGCTGGGTTCTGTTTTCTGCTGGAAAGTCTAAAACAAGAATTGGAGAATTGTAAAGTGATTCAAACAAATGAGCCGTGGTCATTAAGGAAGATGGTTTGAATCCCTCATATCTTATATCTCTGTATAAATAACCATCATCATCCACCCTCAGCTTCCTGTAAAGAATTGTGAAGCAGAGTTCAGCGAGTCCCTGAGTGCTATATTTAGAGTTTACACTCTGTGTTCTGACCAAGCGGCAAACTCCGGGGCAGAGCCGAGAGGCCAATAAGGAAGTGCCACAAACTGCAGGTCATCTATTGGCCGATAGGCGATGACTGCAGAAAGGATCAATTTCCATAGACCCCCATGTTAAAATGCCCAACTTTACAGCAGAAATAAACATGTTTCTACCCCTGGATGCAATACAAATTATTCGGGATATAGTTAGATAATTAGGAATTGTTGAGTGAATTGTTTTATAACGCGACCCTTTTATTTAGTGGGAATGCTGATACAGCATTCCAACTATATGTTATGCTACGGACAAAATTCGTATTATTATTCCATCCAATTATTTTGGCCCTCTTCTCCTCCCACATTCAACATCGCAGAAACTCCGTTCAAACATCAAAACGTTCAGCTCGGTCGGGAATCGCAGGCTATTACTTTTCTCATTCATAACTTTCATAATTCCAGAGATACATCCCATAATTCATCACATTTTTAACATGGAAGTCAATGGAGACATTCTTCAGACTTCAACAAATCTTCATGCGACTTCAACTGCTAACTGTTCACTCATACTTTCACTCAGAAACCTCATTCCAACTTTAAAATGTTACACATCTTTCTGACATTATTCGTGTAACACAACTTTTAAATCTGATTCTTACTTTTAGAGATATTAAACATTGTTCAGACCTTGTTAAAGAGGTTTTCTTCAGATTTTAACATTAACTAGAGTGCGTGATGTCACAGCTAGAGTGTGGGAATTCTTGAAATGTGCCTTCATATTTTTTTTTAAAACTGCCATAATTCCCAAACCCTACATTCTTGAGACATAATTTTTCATGACAAACGTAGGAAAACATCTCGTAGCTTGAAAAATGACAAATAATTAAGCAAAAATAATTAAACAAAATGCCTCTTGAGGGCATGAAGTGACAAAAACGTTCAACATGTCTCCATTAAAGCCCATTGTAATTTCAGGCAGATATTTCCTCACAGCAGCAGCCGCACACCTTTAGTTAAACTGCCAAAAAGGCCACATTATTAACCCGAAAGTACACAAAAATTACACTTCAGATACTCAACTTCCTTGACATGCTTCACGTTTTGAAATTTCACAGATATCTGTTATCGTTCTTCCACAAAACGTTCACATGTAAGAGGTTTATCTCTCATTCAGAACAATGCAAACCTTTGATCTCTACAGAGCTCGTTAGCTCAACTATAAACACCTGTGTAATGGAACACGATGATGTCATCACTCCAACTGACAGCAGTCAGTTCTAACTGTTCATTTCATACACTCTCTCTCTCTCTCTCTCTCTCTCTCTCTCTCTCTCTCTCTCTCTCTCTCTCTCTCTCTCTCTCTCTACCACACACAGACACACACACACTCTATCTCTCTCTCTCACACACAATGTTCCAAACAGCCCAAAACTTCACAGGTTTTGTAACGATGCAGCCATCAACGCATCTAAGCGTAGTATGGGGTGTCATCAAATGCCGTTGCCATGGCGACAGACCACTCGCCATGAAACACGATGTCGCTGTAAGTCCAATGGACACGGTCCAATCGTCCCCCAATCTTCACTTGTATATCACCGGTCCATGCCTCAACAGCTCTACGCCAAATCTGAAATCTCACCATATGCCGTTTCCATGGAAACGCATCCCTCGCCATAAAACACGATGTCCCTTTAACTCCTATGAAAATGTTCAAAAAGTGCTCAAAATTCACATGTGTGCTAACAGTCCAGCCGTGAAGACATCTACGAGACAGTTTTGAGATTTCTTCAAATGCCGTTGCCATGGCAACACAATGCTCGCCATGAAACACGGTTTTCTCATAACTTCAGTGAAAATGCTCCAAACGGCCCAAAACTTCACAGGTTTGGTAACGATGCAGCCATCAACGCATCTAAGCGTATTATGGGGTGTCATCAAATGCCGTTGCCATGGCGACAGACCACTCGCCATGAAGCACGATTTCGCTGTAAGTCCAATGGACACGGTCCGATTGTCCCCCAAACTTCGCTTGTATATCACCGGGCCAGCCCTCAACAGCTCTACGTCAATTATGGGGTTTCTTCAAATGCCGTTGCCATGGCAACACAATGCTCACCATGAAGCACGGTTTTCTCATAACTTCAGTGAAAATGCTCCAAACAGCCCAAAACTTCACAGTTTTGGTAAAGATGTAGCCATCAACGCATCTAAGCGTATTATGGGGTGTCATCAAATGCCGTTGGCATGGCGACAGATCATTCACCATCAAGTTAGTTCAAAAGTTTGCAGTTCAAATATTCTGCTGCTTTTCCAAGCCTTTTTACTTTCTTTTCTTCACTCATCACACATTCAAGCCCCCAGTGTTCATGTATCATTTCAATCTAAATTCTTCACTTTCTTCTTACACATTACATTTCAGCATAGCAGTTTAGCGTCAGATTTTCAGCATAAAGCATTCCCACTAGCAATTTCTTCAGGAATTGCATTCTCTAGTTTATATTAGGTCTTAACGTTTTTGCATAAATTAGGGCGTGGTCACTTTGATGGACAGGTACGTGCCTCACTGTCAGCTAACAGCAACTTGTCCACTCTGCTAGGCTACAACGTTAGCTAGTTGTAGTTACTGTACTTGACCCTTTAGCCGGTTGAATGTACTAACAGAACTTCCAAGAAGTCTAAAATGATAATATTATACATGTTAACCCCGTTAGCAGGTGTTTGTGTGCTTGTTAGCTTAGCTTGTTATATAGCTTATTAGCCAGCTAAGGACCTAACCCTTTATACATGTATATATATATATATATATATACATATACAGTTTAGTTTATGATTCAGCCTTTTATAGTCTATGGATATGACGCCCATAATGCTAAACGGGAGCAAATGTTAAAAAGGGACCCAATTATCCAAGTGGTGGCCGCCAGAGCTAACAGAGCCGCAGGGGGCTCCAGCCGGTGTCCCGCCGCCCGGAGCCCCCTGCGGCTCCGGGCGGCGGAGTCCGGCGTTATAACTGGAGATCAAGGAATGCAGCGAAACGTGGACTTGGTTCGCCTGCAGCCCGCTGTAGTATTAGCTAAATAAATTATGTTGAACAAGGCTTATTAAGCTGAACATCGCCACAATTGTTCTGCTATGTATCGGTACTTATTTTATTTTATTAACATGTGAATGACAAGCATTAAGAATAACAAAAAATTGCTAATTCTCTTGCAGATTGTCTCGTTTGATTATGAATGTAATGTTTATATAGTGGAACTACACTGTTTTATCAAAACCAAAGTGCCACGCAGTAACTTGGTATGCATGTATTTCATGTTAGCTTAGCTTCTTAGCCTGAGCTAGCTCTGGAACTTCCAGCTCGTGTCAGCAGGTCCCGCCTCTTTTGCCTTATTTGGATCAGGCTGGAGCAGGCGGGAGTTAGACTCTGACGTCACGGCCCGTCCACACGGCGGTGTGCGTTGAAGCTACAACGCTTCTGCCCATTCACTTTGAATGGGGTGACGTCACGCTTTGCCGAACTGCATTGTGGTCGCTTCGCTTTGCTCGCGTTGCTCGCTTCAAAAGTAGAGCAATGTTCTACTTTTGAAGCTTCGACGGAAGCGTCAGCCAATCAAATCATATGCCAGTACAAGCTCTAGCCAACCCAGAAATCACTGGTTCTCCTCTCAAAGTCCTGCCCCTCCCTCACAGGAAGGAGGAGCCGGTGTGAACATGTTTGATATTCATTCATAGTTTTCCTTTCTTGTTATAGCATTTGAAGCTTCACACCCAGTCGCATTAGTCTCTGAAAGTCATTCTCAATAAGCTGACAAGCCCCAACACTCAGGAACAGAATCAAGTTTGTGTGATAAATGATGAGTTATAATAAGGAAATTATGAATTTGGCACGTCGCGTTTAATTTTTAACACCATTTAACCTAGATAATACATTTATAAATGTTTAACTTTTATTGCCATGTATTCCCCACAGTTAAATGTTGGTATAGTTGGACAGTCGTACACCAACCCTTCAGAATAACATTTTGAACAGCCCCCCCCCCTACATTGAACTGTTGTTGTGTATTTGTAATAAAGCCTATATATTTTCTGAACCTCGCCCCACGCCTGTCCAGATGTGCTCAGATCTCCCTCTGCTGGTAAGACCAGGATACTGCCTGTCTGTATCTCTGATTGACAGACCTGATATCCACTGTCCCCGCCCCCAATGTCCAATCCTCACGTCTGATTGGTGGTCTTCTCTCTCCATTGTCCAGTCTCCTGTGGTTACAGAGAGACAGAGTTTTGTCCTCTAATCACTGCCTGTGGACTCTGATTACTGAACTGACTCAGAGCTGATCCTCTCTTTCTATCCCTCTTTCCTTCCTTTCCTTTGTTTTTCACCCTTTTTTCTGATTATTTTCTATCCTTGTCATGTCTACTTCTAACTTCTTTCATCTCTTCATTCTACCTTTCTTCCTGACTTCATTACATTACATGTCCCTTGTTAGATGCTTTTACCCAAAGACATACACTCAGGCCTGTGGACAGTCTCAGGGACACATGCTGACTGCAGCTGGGATTGAACCAGCGCTCTTCTGATCGGAAGATCAGCACACTGACCCACTGAGCCACAGCCATTACTTTCTGCCTTTAATCCCTCCTTGCTTTTCTTTTGTTTATTCAGCTATTTTTTATTTCATTATCTAGCCCCCTCCTCTCCTCTGCTTTGTTTTTTAAATGTTCTTTCCAGTCTGTTTCTTTTGTTACTTCTAATTCTTCCTTAATTTCTTTCTGCCTGTGCCTTAGTGTCCGAGCTGTTTTACTTTTCTTCTTCCTTCCATCACTCTTACTTCTTGTTTTTAACTATCTGTACATTTCCTTTTAGTTTCTGACGGGTTCAATCTTTGTCTCCGTCCTTCTGTCCATCTTTCTCTCTCTGTGTAGCTCCTCTTCTCTCTCTCTGCTCTCTCTCTGTGTAGCTCCTCTTCTCTCTCTCTGCTCTCTCTCTGTGTAGCTCCTCTTCTCTCTCTCTGCTCTCTCTCTGTGTAGCTCCTCTTCTCTCTCTCTGCTCTCTCTCTGTGTCGCTCCTCTTCTCTCTCTCTGCTCTCTCTCTGTGTAGCTCCTCTTCTCTCTCTCTGCTCTCTCTCTGTGTAGCTCCTCTTCTCTCTCTCTGCTCTCTCTCTGTGTAGCTCCTCTTCTCTCTCTCTGCTCTCTCTCTGTGTAGCTCCTCTTCTCTCTCTCTGCTCTCTCTCTGTGTAGCTCCTCTTCTCTCTCTCTGCTCTCTCTCCCGGTCAGCATGCTGCATTGAGCTGAGTGTGATGACCATAGAGCTCACTGTGGATGGATAGAAAGTCAGCTGTTCTATCCATTCAGATCCGTAGGTTCAGGGAACAGGAAGTTACAGGGCCTGACTTCCTGTCTCCTCATACCTTACTGCTCGCTACGACCGGTCAATAAGAGACTCTTCTTTTTCTGTCTTTCTCAGGGACCATCGTAAGTGTGGGAGACCCCAAGAAGAAGTATACACGCTTTGAGAAGATTGGACAGGGGTGAGTGATAAAACTGCTGAGTCAGAATGTTGAGGCTCCTGTGATCAGTTCACTCACTCAACTCTCATGTGATAATGAAGTGTGGCTTTACATTATGTAGAAAGAGCTTTCGCTCTGCAAAGAAAGATTTCAGAAGATTGACATAAACGAAAACAGGCCCACAAGTGTTTGTATTACTCTTTGAGAATCTTTAATATTCTAAACCCAACGTAACATCTGGTAAAGCAGCTTTTCAGTTGGTTTGGGTCAAGGTAATGCAAGTTTTTCCAGTCTATCATAGGTTATTAATTTCAATAGCACAGGGGTCCAAATCACACCACATACTTTTTTATTTTAATAAAGACAGTGCATTTAACCCTCAACATGTTTTATACTCAATAAAAAAAACATTATGAGTTCTTATTAGTTTGGAACATTGTTTCTATACAGCACTACTTTAGAATGTCATGTAGGCTGTGTGTGTGCAGAATGTGCTCTGACCATTTACACTAACTTTATTTGGAAGGTATACATTTACAGTATGAATCAGTTCAAATCACTGAAATGAATGTTAAGGTGAATTCATCTGACATAATGTGTATCTGTGCTCTGCATTGTGTTCACAGGGCGTCTGGGACGGTGTACACAGCCATAGACATCGCTACAGGACAGGAGGTGTGTGCCCCCCCGTCCTCCCTCTGTGCTCTGAGGGGACTCTCACTGATCAGGACATGTTGGATAAACTTGAAGATAATGTTTAATTACAAGACTAAAACATACAGACATTCCTGTCCTGTAATATTATGGTGATCCTTCAAAGAATGAAAAAAGGGGAGAAAGGGGGCCATCCATAAAGCTATGCTGCTAAAGTGGAGATTAATCCCACAGTAGGATCTAGTTTTTAAAAAAAAATAGGATGTTGTAAGTAGTCAAATGTTAATGAAATAGAATGAAATAAGTCAGAATAAAAATCAGTACAATGTTGACACTCAGTCACTGCCACTCCACATACAAGCCTTCTAAATAATATCATAATCAAAACTTACTGTTGTGTTTCTTGCCTCTCGCCTTGGGTTGATTCTTAGTATATTTACTTAGGAGGACAGCTTCATTGAACCAATGATCATTACTGTTATCCTGATCGAGCTTAATAACATGTGACATCTAGCCTTCATATCTAAAATCACCTCTGTTGTCTGTAGAGTCAGGACAGACAACAGAGGTGTGCAGACAGTTCTAATGTAAGCTGAAGGACCAGAGTCTGTAGCAGGTTTTTTATAGAGAAATAAAGTCCAAAGTGAATCCCTCTTTTACAATTCTGAGGGGTTAGGGAAGAGGCTAGAAATCTGACTGAGGGACCTATAAAGTGAGGCAGAGAGCAGGTAGTGAGAACATTGTGTCAGTAACAGGGTTTACCAGCTGGGACCTCCAGGGTCACTTCAGAGGAGCTGCTCTGCTGGGTCAGGGTCTCTGAGGGACACACTGTGTGCTCACTTTCACTGCCTCAGATTTAGAGACGTCCCTCTGACTGTCTTCACTTCTTTTACATTTTCCATTTTTTACGTATTTTATTCCCTCCCACCTTGTTTTTCTCTTTCAATTTACTCGTACATCTGTCTTTCTTTTATTGTACCCCCCACTTTCTCCACCCTCTCTGCTCTCAGTTTCATTTGAAATATGTGTGACTTATTTGCATAGTTATGAGAAAGTCCAATAATCCTCTCGTCTCTCAGGTGGCCATCAAACAGATGAACCTGCAGCAGCAGCCCAAGAAGGAACTGATCATCAATGAGATCCTGGTGATGAGGGAAAATAAGAATCCAAACATTGTCAACTACCTAGACAGGTTAGACACACACGCACACACACACACGCACGCACGCACGCACGCACGCACGCACGCACACATACACACACACACACACACATACGCACGCACGCACACACACACACACACACATACGCACGCACGCACACACACACACACACACACGCACGCACACATACACACACACACAGATCGAACAGGCTGCAGCTTTAAAAGTTGGAGGAATATCTTCAGTTGGCAGGTTCACACTCATCTGACATCCTGCTGTAAATGTTCTGACAGCAAATATATTGAATGCAGTATATATGTAAAGCAAGTTGAAAAACACAATCTGCTGGAAAAATTGGACACCAAATATTCCACGGAAACATGGGAGATGATCCAGAGGATTCAGGATCAGTGGGAACTATCCAGACTGAACCCTGATGAAAGGCTTTAACATGTTCAGTGTTTCTGTTGCCTTGCCAACACTCTAGACATTTATGGAGTGGGTGTAGTTACCGTAGTTACCCGTTTGTCCTGAGAGACATTGAGGAGCACCAGCAGGACTGGTGATAATGCTGTCATCCCCATGGAAACAACATTTAACTCTCTCTGATTTACTGTGCGACTGTACATTTGTTCAGACGGTGCTGTCACTGGGGAGCTGAAGAGACATAAGTAGTCATTCTAACAAAATGTGAAAACTACAGACATATTAAGGAGGTGTTCTTACCAACATTTGAAAATAATTGTCCTGATTTCCAAAGTCTAACAAATAAAGGGGAACTGACCCGTAGCTCTGGGGTTGAAGAGAAATGCAGCGTTGGCTTGTTAAATATGTCCACAATGCACAGAACATTTTATTATATAATACTGGTAAAAAATCCAGTCAAAATCTGAAAACAAAACACTCTTAAGATTTGAAGATTTTAGTTTGGAATTTTTGTATGTTTATTATAGGGTCTGATGACTGATGAAATGTCTTGGTGTTATTGAAACACAAAACATGTACATCATATAAGTACCTGCATGTTTGTGGTGTTTCCCACAGTTACCTGGTTGGAGACGAGCTGTGGGTTGTGATGGAGTACCTGGCCGGAGGGTCGCTGACTGACGTCGTCACGGAGACCTGCATGGATGAAGCCCAGATAGCTGCTGTGTGTAGAGAGGTAAGAGACACGGGACATGGGACGATTTTTAAGGCTCATTTTGACCTCATCACTGTCATCATTCTGTCTCTGTGTGTCTGCCTAAACATGTGTCCTGACTGTTATTTTTCTGATGTAATATAAATATTTTGAACAGTAATATAAACTATGTCTGTCTCCCTGTCTGTCTCTCAGTGTCTCCAGGCGTTGGAGTTCCTCCACTCGAACCAGGTCATCCATCGAGACATTAAGAGCGACAACATCCTGCTGGGCATGGATGGCTCCGTCAAACTCAGTGAGTCTGGTTCATATTTATTAAAAGACATGTATAACTTCTTAAAGGTCCCATGTCATGCTTTTCCGGTTATTACCCGTCCCCTTGTGTGTTATGTAGCTTTTTCTGCATGTAAACGGTCTGCAAAGTCACAAACCCTCAACGTACACCCTGTAGCGAGTACAACTCTAACACAGAAAAGACCTGTCTATGCTGCCCCAGAACGCCTCGTTGGAGATTTTTCTTTTTCCATTGTTTTCTTCCTGGTCATAGTGACGTAACGGTCATAGTGACACACAAACACACACTCACTCAGCCTTATCTTTTCTCAGCCAGGCTGTGAGTGTGTGTGTGTGTGTGTGCTCAGGCTGAGTTCCGCTGTGTCTCGCTGTCTCGCAGACCCCACACAGCAACCAGGAAACGACACCAGTAACCCAGCTCACACTGTCCGCTCCTCGAGCCTCAAAGGGCGGAGCAGCGAGCCCCGCAATGTCCTGCCAACACGGCACCCAGACCCCACGCAGCATTCTCATCTGTTTGTCATTACTGGTGTCATTTTCTGGTTGCTAACAAACGCCATTGTAACACATAAACACTGATGTTCCGCTGTAACGGTGGTTGACTCATCAGAACAGAGTGGGCGAGCTGACCAATCAGAGCACAGTGGGCTCATAGGGAGGGGGGCAGGAGCTCCAACAAGCCGTGTAGGACAGAGAGTGAATACACATACTATACAGAGATGCTGTATGAGAAACCAATGTGATTTTGGAACATTGAACAATGTAAATCTATTCTAGTAGACCTCAACAATGGAATTATGATCAGTAGAAATGGCCATGTCATGGGACCTTTAATCTATTGTTGTACACCACTGTTGCTTTGAGGTTGGGTAAGATTGTTGTTGAAGTTGCTTGTCATGACCAGCAGAGGGCGCTCTGATTCTACTGTGACCAGTATTTAAGTTGAGTCTAACTACCATGGACAGAGTGTAATAAATAACATTTTAACTTGGATTTTCCTGAGAATTGTAAACATCAACATGAGTTTTTAAGATATAAAATAATGATTATTACAAACTTGGTAAATGTTCAACTTTTTCAAAGAGGCCAAATATGTCTTGCTGCATTGATTTACTGATGATTTGTTGGTTTGGTGTTCATTTAATGCAATAATTTACCACTTAGGTGTGTTTGGTTGTCAATGAGCTCAAACTAGTGCATGACCTTCAAGCAAAACCTTTGAAATATATCACAGAGTGTTACAGATTGATGGTGACCTTTAAACATTGTCTATGCATAAAAAGTCACTCTGTTCTCTCTCCTCCTCCAGCTGACTTTGGGTTCTGCGCTCAGATCACTCCGGAGCAGAGTAAACGCAGCACCATGGTGGGGACTCCCTACTGGATGGCTCCAGAGGTGGTGACCCGCAAAGCCTACGGCCCCAAAGTGGACATCTGGTCTCTGGGCATCATGGCCATAGAGATGGTGGAGGGGGAGCCGCCGTACCTGAACGAAAACCCCCTGAGGGTGAGAGTGTGGTTACTGCAGGGGGGAGGAAGAGGAGCTGTCGGGGAAGATACTCAGTAGAAGCTGTAAAACATAGAGAGGAATACACTTTTGAGAGTCAATATGTGTTTACAGTAAATGCCTCCTCAAACTCATACAGAAAATATCATGTCAGACTAAACATAAGAAGATATTTCTCTTTGGAAACTAAGTAGGGTTAAACTATATTTAGGGATTACATATATAACAAGGTGTTATAAAAAGGGAATAGTTTGGTTATCAGACTTATATTTAGATCATTAGGATACATATTGTAATAGCAGTGTTTTTCTGTAAACTGTTTGACACAGACATATATGTTCTATACATAGTTGTAGTTGGGAGAAGTGTGGTGCAGTGGGTTGTGCGTTGGTGTTGGGATCAGGGGGTCACAGGTTCAAACCCCACTGCAGTCAGCATGTCGTTGTGTCCCTGAGACACTTCACCCCAAAGTGCTCCTGTGGGGAAAAGCGACTAACAAGTAACATGTCATGTAATAATAATAATAATAATTCATTAATCTCAAGGTCGTCGTACAAAAAAACAAGATACACAATACATAACACCAGCATAAAAAACATAAACAACACAATGCAGTATATACAAAATAAAATCAATAAAACAGAGGATGTGTGATGGATAATGATGGATAATGATCAGGGTGGATATGCGAGTGTGAAGAGATATGTTTTGAGACGTGATTTGAAAACGGGGAGAGAGTCAGTGTTGCGGATGTCAGGTGGGAGGGAGTTCCAGAGGCGGGGTGCAGAGCGGCTGAAGGCTGTAGACTGGTTAAACGGAAGGGGGGTGCAGTGAGGTGGAGGGAAGCAGAAGACCTGAGAGTGCGGATGGGTGTGTTGATGTGCAGGAGGTCGGAGAGGTACAGAGGAGTGAGGTTATGGATGGCCTTAAAGGCGAGGAGCAGAATCTTAAAAACGATACAGGATTTGACGGGGAGCCAGTGAAGCTGCTGAAGAACAGGAGTGATGTGGTTAATGGAGGGGGTTCTGGGGATGATGCGAGCGGCAGAGTTCTGGACCAGTTGAAGTCTGTGGATGGATTTGAGAGGGAGCCTAAGAGAAGGGAGTTGCAGTAGTCAATGCGGGAAGTGACCAGGGTGTGAACAAGAATGGCGGTGGTCTTAGGGTTGAGGGACGGGCGGAGGCGGTTGATGTTGCGTAGATGGAAATAGGCAGACCGAGTGATATTACTGATGTGAGATTTGAAAGAAAGTGTGCTGTTGAGGATGACACCCAGACTCTTAACCTGGAGTGGAGGTTAGTTGTGAATCATGCATACCTGTGCTGCATGCGATGCACACTAACATGTTGCTAACATGTGTGTGTTGCCTAGGCGCTGTATCTCATAGCAACCAACGGGACTCCGGAGCTGCAGAACCCGGAGAAGCTGTCGACGACCTTTAGAGACTTTCTGACCCGATGTCTGGAGATGGACGTGGAGAAGAGAGGCTCGGCTAAAGAGCTGCTGCAGGTACGTGTGTGTGTGTGTGTGTGTGTGTGTGTCAGCTGTCCACTCAGACAGACAGACAGCTGTGTAGGTGTGGAGACGTGGTGGTGGGGGGTGTAACCGAGTTGTGTAACTGTACCATGACTCAGCTGAGAGGGGAAACTGGGACTTTATCATATTGAGAAGGAGTCTGTTAAAGATGGCATTTAATGCTAGACTCCTTTTGACTTGATGTGCTGACAGAGTCCTTGTTGTCTGAAGTGACCTTTAAAGGTTGATTCAAAGTCCATTTCTCACCTATTTTCAGAAACATATTCTAGTGTTCTGTTTAGTTAAAAAATTAGAAAGTTTGTTGAAAACAGCTCTGCCAAATCTAGTCAAGCAGACTTTGGGTGTGTTAATGCCCAAATAAATGGGTCTATAATGCGGCTTTCACACCAGCGCTTTTCCCTTTCTAGCTCCTAGCGAGAGCTTTTCTGGTTCAGCTCCGGTTTCCCTTTTCAGCTCCCGCTCTGTTCACACCGCCCAGCTGCCGCTGCTGCGTCATGACGTCACAGTTTACGTCGCTGATTTTCTCCCACAACAACAACGGGCCGGGGACTGCGTCGGGTCGATGATCGTGTTGCTTTTAATCATACGAAGCCAGATTAAATTAAATAACGACTTCTCCAACCTTATACTTTTCTCCAGAGTGCCGTGGTTCATTGTTTATTAATGTGTTTCAGCGGCATTTACCGACCGCTGCAGTGGCTGCTCTTCCACGGGAGTCTATTCTCCCGTTAGCTCCGGGTTAGCTCACACGGCTCTAAAGTATTCACTGTCTGACTGTCACACAAGCAGCTGATACATATCCCCAGTTCCCCTTAAGTGAATGTGTGTCAGTCTGAATTGACGCTGTTTGGTGTCAGTCTGAATTGACGCTGTTTGGCATCACAACGCTGTTATGAAAGTTTCTCTGGTATAACATGGGTGATGTTAGCATAGCAACCGAAGCTAAACTGACTACTTGCTAAGCCGTTTTCTACAGGCACATTTTACCGGCGTATTTTTCATTATGATTCTACTTGTGATAGTCGGACATGACAACCTGTGCAGCCCATGTATCTCCACAATGATCAATAACAGCGAACGGATGATCAAAGTAAGGTTTCCTGCACGCCTCGACGTAAGAGACGTAAGCGACGCCGCGTCATAGCTCCGAAGCTCTTGCCTCTGGACCGACAATTTTTTGGAGCTGGAAGTGAACCGCATTTCGGAGCTATGACGCGCCGCTGCTGCGGTGTGAACAGGAAAAACCGGCGCTTTTCCAGCTCCAGCTTCGAGCAGGAGCTGGAGCTGGAGCTGGAAAAATCCATAAAAAATGTCATCTGTGGAAGCCGTAATACTGTAAAAAGCACGACCAATCATTTTAGCCGGCCCGGCTAAAATAACTGGATGGCCTACCTGCCTGTCAGCCTTCCATCTGTGCACAAACTTATCTCGTGCCCTCATTGGTCATGTGCGCGTTCGTGTGTGTTGGAGGAGGGGCTCTGTAAGGAAGTGGGAGATTTTTTCCAGCTGTGTATTTTCAAATTCTTGCGCACTCGAGCTGGTTTCTCAAACTTACCTACCCCACCTTTAAATATTTGATGTAATTTACTCTCACACACTTGTGTATGCAGTGAAGGGGCAACTGTGTGTGGTGAAGTCATACGAAGAGTGTCAATTAAATGAAAATATGCCTTGTGTTTCTGTCTTCTCTGTCTTTACACAGTGAACTGATATTTCTCCTTTCTCCACCTCGATACTGCCCCCCCCCCCCCTGTTCCCTCTGCCGCCTTCCCTCCGTTCTCCTAACCCATCCTCTCTTTTTCTCTTCCCCTTACTCTCCTCAGCATCAGTTCCTGAAGATGGCGAAGCCCCTCTCCAGTATGACTCCTCTCATCGTGGCCGCCAAGGAGGCTGCCAAGAACAACCGCTAGCCCCCCACTCAACATTCTGTCTGTCCCTCGCTGTCTCTGTCCCTTTCTGTCCCTCTCTCTGTCCCTCCCCCTGTCTCTCTTTCTGTCCCTCTCTCTGTCCCTCTCT